TGGAACGAAAGGGATTAAAAATAAAAGCATTAACGTGGTTTGTTTTTGAAAATTCTTTCTAAACCGCAGTAGTTTGATTAATCTGTCAAATGCTTGTTTGCTTACGTTCAAAGGTTTCTCTGTGATGTTTAAAAACCATATCGTGGTTTACATAATTAATTGTACGCTTTAAACACTTCGTGTTTTCTCACGAATAATATGAAAGCTAGTCACGAAATGTTCCTTTAAATACCGGATATTAACATATCCGATTGTAGACGTGTACTCTTTAACAAGAATTAAAGATAAAAAAAAAATGGTTGAAATGTTTCGACACACAGGAAAAAAATCTACTAGATTTTTAAACCTGTCATGTTTCTATTAACGATACATTGACGTATATATTTTCCTTGAATATATATTTTCCTGACGTATATAGTTTCATAATTAATGGAATTTCCCGAGTTTTGTATTTCTAGTGTCATTTTGCAAATATTTTCTAGAAGGCTAAATAAAAGAAGATATTTCTAATGTCATTTTGCAGATATAGATATTTTCTAACAGGCTAGATAAAAGAAGATATTTCTAATGTCATTTTGCAGATATAGATATTTTCTAACAGGCTAGATAAAAGAAAATAACGAATACTGGGAGAGATACGTCATCCCGTGGAAATTCCTAGCCACTCATTACTCTCAGACACCACCCTTTATGCCGTTCGAACACGCAGTTTTACCTTATTCAGTGTTTCGGCCGTGCACGTGAAGCGTTCGCTTGGCAAGTCGCCAGCAAAAACGAAGCCTGCTACCGAGTCGACTTATTTTCACGGAGCGAAAGCTTCGGTAATATCCGCGGTTTGCGGACCAAAAATAACACCGACAGTGTAAACATTAGCAAGTTATAATCGATGCAAAGTATCGATCCACGATATATGATCGGAAACGAGTGATTTTCCGAAAAAAGGGGAAGGGAAGAGAGAGAGAGGGAGAGGGAGAGAGAGAGAAAGAGAGAGAGAGAGATTGTGATCGATAGAACGAAATTTATTCCATCCCGGGAATTTAATCTCCCCAAGATAAACCAAAGTTTAACATGCGAGCGTATATCGTGTGTACGTTATATATTTCTGTGTGGAGATTGACTCGGAATATTGGTATCTCTTTACGATGAGAGATCCGAGATAGATTGTCGGTCAAAGAGAGATGTTTCCACGTCAAAACATCTCACGCGAAACGGATAACGTAATTCATTTTCGAGATTTATCGAGATCGAGCCTCCAACAAATATACACGTATGAGAATGCGATTATTTTTCGACATTACGCGAATCCGTATCAACACCAACTATCGAGAGAACCGGAAACGGATCGGCTCCCCAAGAGTTTGGCGCGTCGACTTTCGATATCGCGGCTGTTTGTAAACATTTTTTTATTCCCCAAACTCGGGAAACCGGGTTCGATGGCGAGGAGGAGGCGGACGATCGAGAGACGTCGTCGCTGGAAGGATGCATCGGCGGACTCGAGCTGGGATTTCGAGCGGAGCGTGCGAGACAAGGAAGATTGGGAAGGTAAAGGAGGAAGAAAACGGGAAAAACAAAAGCGGAAGAGAGAGAGAAGGGAGGGGCAGGAAATGGGGAGAGGTCCTCCGGCCGCCGCCGTCCGCCTCCTCCTCGTATCGAACCGCACGCACCGCCGCCGGAAATCGCGTAGTAAGGAGTAAGGAGAACTCGTGTACCTAGGATCCGGCAGAATAATCTTCTTGCTGGCACGGGCGGCCGGCGTGCATTTGCTCTTCTCCATGGCCATCAGGTAGCTGACATCGGCCAGCACCGCCTCGAGGTCCGCCATTTTCCTCGGTGATCCTTCCGTCGATGGGTTGTCGCGCGAACACGATGATCACCCCCTTCTTCACTCCCTCGAGCGGGATCCTGCCTGCCTCCTCTTCTCTTCTCTTCTCTCTCTCTCTCTCCTTCTCCCTCCCCCTCCCCCTCCTGCCCCGTCCGGCACCTCCGGACCTAGCACACGCAGCCGAGAGCCAGCCGCTTCGCTCTGCCACGGGCGGTGCTCCGCCGTGCGTTTCTCACTGCCGCATATTTTTAGCGTAACACCGACGACGACGATGACGACGATGACGGCGACGGCGACGATGACGACGGCGGCGAGGATAGCATTCCGATAGCAGCGCGATCCAACGAGAGAGAGAGAGCCTCGCTTAATCGACGGATGGACGTTGATCACGGTCGAGCGAGCAACACCGACTAAGGTTAGTGTCGTGGCAAGGACAACACGACGCTTCGGAGGACGATGCTCTCTTCCTCTCTCTCTCCTTCCCTCTTCGTTTCTTCCCGTCTCTCTCGCTTTCGCGCTCCTCCCGTCGTCTCTCTCTCTCCTTCTCCGTTATCCTCGCGGGATTCGCGACGCTCCTCTCCTCTCTTCCTCTTACAACGCCGTTTCTCGCGCGTACGAGATCGGGCGCCGCGACCGAGACGAGGCTGGCCTCTTTTCGGCCGCGCGAGCTCCCATTTTAACGCGACGCTACGCGCCGCGACGTACCGTTCCTCTCGTCACGCCCGTACAGGCGATTGACGTCGCGCGTCAACTACGCGGAGCGATTCGAGGTTAATGACGTATCGGGGTGATCGGACGCGCGCGTTCACTTCGAGACGAGACGCGCAAAAATCTCACGCGTTACGAACGCAATAGGCGCACTGACGAAAAAAAAAACAACCGGATCGACCGAAAGCTCACGACTGCTCGCCCGACAGTCGACGACTCGCACTCACTCCGTGCTCGCTCGCGCCCCAATTGGCCGAGCGCCTCTGGCGGAGCAAGCGCGAATTATCCGGCCGGTAAAACAGTTTTGCTCGGTAAAACAGCTCGCGATATAAATCTGCGTTTGAACGATCGTCGGAAAGATAGTCCTCCTGTAAATCTCGCGCGTCATTTTTTTTAGCTGTAAACAAAAAAGCGTTATTAGATGATTTAATTATTGATATTTCTTATAATTATTATTGACAAAAGTTAGTTTGACATCTATATACATGTTTGTATTCGTGTGTGTTCGATGATTTCTTTTTTTAATTAACGATGAGAGATATGCCTATGTCGGCTACAATACGATATAGCGATTTTTAATTAATAATTAATTGTAAAGAATTTTTATTTAAGTAATAACATGCATTTTCTTAATTTAAATGTAAATTTGCCGTTATTTAAAATTCCATTAAATGCGTTTCCATGCATCCTACCCATAATAAGGAAATGGCTTTCATTTATACGGGCCAATGACACCGTCATTATTCATCGGAAACGGTGGAATCGATTTATACAAAATTGATCGGATCGATTGCGCTCATTGTAACACATGCCATTTAAACTTTACAATCGTATTACAAGCTATAATATTACAAAAGCAAGCGTGTGACACGCAGTTTAAAATTGCTAGACATTTAAAAAAGTTTTAAATACATATTAGAATGATAAAGACTTGACTAAGACTTTAATGAAAAGGAATAATTAAACATAGAAGAATTAAATGAATAGTTATATATTAAATATATAAGAATATTAAATATAAGAATTAAATAAAATAATATTAAATATAAGAATACATTTAATATTATATTACTTAATATTCTTATATTTAATATGAAAAATATTTTATATTTAATTATGAATAATAAAGTGAAAATTATTATTGTAATATAATCTTATAATAGCAATTTAGTGAATGTATAATTTAGCTCTCTTTCATTACTCCAAAAATACTATTAATTCTCATGAATTAAAATATTGTAAATTTTTTGTTCATTTGCATTTATTTCGCAATAAATACTGTATCACGATAAATACGTCATTTATGTAAGACCGTCATGTACCCGCAGCTCAATATGCTATAAACTCACAAATCGAAGATTTCACTCATGTTTAGTAATAAAAGTAACATAGTGAGTGATGAAAATAAAAGTGGAGCTATCAGTTTAAAGTGAGAGTAGTAAAATTTAAAGATAAAAAGCATTATGACATCTTTCATGTCGTTTATATAACATTTTGTATGCTTTTATTATAAAATATAATTGTTTTCTACTTTTACTTGCCCGTATGAAATGACTTCAAAAAGTAGATAAAGACTGACAGCAATTTATTCTGCAAAGATAAATATATTATTAATTCAAAAAATATTTGAATTTCTCTTGCTTGACTTTTTTTACGCAATACATATATTATTATGTAAAGCGGATTCCATGCTTTTATCTATCCAAAAAAGTTTTATGAAATATATGTATAGTATAATCGAAATTTTCAAAAGTACATCTATAATTTTGTTTTATATCCTATTGTTATTATTTGAAAGATATCTCATTTTACGAAGTGCACATTAGCCGTTCCGTCTTGCTGTATCCATATATGTATATGTGACTGACTAACAAGCGTAAACGATGCCAAAGAGTTACGTAAAGCGAAGGACACTAGTTTCGATGTTCACTATCGATATAGACTTCTAATGCTTGTTTAATTGTATAGTTGTTGCGCTATGGGAAACCCTTTAATAGGGCATTTGGCAGTCGTATTAAACGCGGTGTCTGAATCCATTTAAACGCCATTGTAAAAAAGCCTCTCCTAGATATATATTTATTTCAAAATGTAAAGGATTTCTTCATACCTATTATTAAATTTTAATTTTGTTAAAATTCAGTCCAGAATCAACTGGGAAAGCGTACTTGCATAATTTTTCCATCATTGTGAATTTAATCAGACAAATAACTCACGTTCAAATAATTTAACGTGTCATACTTTCAATGGTATATTAATAACCAAAGCAAACACTTGCTCCTCGACAGCAGGTCTCTACTTTATTTAAGTATCGAGTACTTCGTAATCGTCCACGATAACGATATGACGAAGGCCGAATTTGTGTCACCGATGAGCGAACGTACGTATACTTGGGCGGCGCAAAACATCCCAGATAATCGTTTGCCGACCTCGCCATCGTTTTTTTTCCTATCTTCCTTTTTACGACAATGCCGGTGAATGGATTGATGTGCGCGGAGCTGTATTTACCCAGCCGCATCCGATCGTTCGATCAGGCAGGCGGATGGCACGGCCGGAGGATGCCCCTCTGCTCTTCCTCGTCGTATCCGCCGTTGTGGCTCGGCGCGCGATAGCTTTTCATTTCGTTACGTGTCTGTCCCGCAGTTGGTTAGTGGAACGTTTGCCCGTCCATCTCACTCTCTGTATAAACGAAAGGACGACGAATGTACGCGGAGAGTGAATCGCGAGCACGGCTCGATTACGTCGAAGAGCGCATGCAGTCCCTGGGGAGATATATCGATCTTTAACCCGCCGACGATGCACACTTCAGCTAACAATAAGTGTGACAATTGCTACTAGAGAGTTCAATGACGGATCAGCGGTTTGCGTAAGAACATGTGAGTGGATGCTCCACAAGTATAAAAGGAGAAAAAATTCATATATTCACAATTTCTAAATAGTTATTTAAATCTAAAAGATTTCTAAAAAATTATTTAAATTTTAATAGTAAAAAATTCCTCTAAAATGAATATTAATGTAATATAAATTTCTTATTTTTAATGTATATCGACATTTTATACATTTCATTTATTTCTCTGCAATATTACTTTTTTTAATTAAATCAATTTATAAAACAGAACTTTGTAAACTTTTATTTTAACTTTTGGCTTCACAGGAATCGCATTGTTACGAATATGATTTTATATAATTAATATAAAAAAAAACTATGTAAATTATGGGGATTTATTCTGGCGATTTGTAATACTCTATAATTTTATATAGTAATTTTAATTTAAGCCCTATAGACTTATAGTTCAATTACATTCTAAAATTATGCGACTATGGGTATGATTACGTGTAAGTATAGAAATAGCTGTTATTCTGTTATCAGTCATCACCATTTTAATAAGTATGAGTAATCATCGGCATAAATGTCACATTGCACATTATTCTTTCATTGTGCTGTATCCTTTTCACAAGGATATAATTTATAAGGATCTAATTATATTATTATATACATTATACTATGTGACATAACCGATTCTTTTAATCTGTAAGTGAAAAGATTTGTTTTTTACATATTGCAATTATATTATCACGAGACTTTTGATCGCGGAATGTAAAGGCACGACCACATTTTTTCTGCACTCATCTTCGCGTGTTTAATAAAGTTGAGTATAAAATCCATTGCAAATCGCTATCGCGAATTATGCCGTATGCTTACGCAGTGTCAAGAGATAGTGGAACCAAAAGCACGAGGTAAAAACGGCACACGATAACATTATGCAGCGAATAACTCGCTTATATGTGAGAAACGTTGCATTATCTTGAAACCTTGAAGATAGGAGGGAGTTCTTAAAGGAGCAGCTAACGCGGATGATCGCATTCGACCGCTTCTTCACTCGACGATCTAATGCATGTTGATTTCAACTTTTTTACAAGTGATAATGACATTACGTAACGACATTGATATATATATATAGGTAAATCAGCGACACGAGAGAGAAGCAGAAGATGTCGTTCCGCAGTTTATAGAACAATATCTGGGAATCCTTGAAGAGGAACTCTTCAAACTCTCGCAACTGATTTCATCTCTTCGCATTTGATACAAACGCAAAGATACAGAATGACGGCGACAACTCTATGTTTCATGGTTTTCATCTGCAGTCTTGCATGCAACACAGGTAAGAATCAATTTACACAATTAATTAAAGAATCTAATGTCTTCAATAAATAGTAAATGTATAACGAATATTTATTTATTATTCAATATTATGAGATATATAAAGAGAAAATTTATTTCTAATTAATATAATAAAATTTTATCTCGTCAAGAAATGAAAATGTATAAAAACTGTACTGTTTCTCTCGGTACTTTTTCAACGATAATTTTATTTGGCTCAAAGAGAATTCGCAAAAATCATTTTTCTGACTTGTTTGTGTAATGTTATTTTTACTTTGAATATCTAAAATTTGACAATTTATAAAGTATATTTAAATAAATTTCTTTTTTTGCGTTGCAAATATAATTCGTTATGTAGTATCACGCGAAAAGTATAGATAAGTCATCGGCGCGCGCGATACACGCTATTTAACTGCACTTCGCACTTTATAAGACTTACGTCCTTCAGGTTGGTCTCAGAATTGTCAGGATCAAGATACGGGATGGGAGAAAATCATCGGAGCTAAGCCTGCAAACTCTGTAGAAACTGTGTTATACAAAAACAGTGCCATAGGTAATAACGGTATTGTCGTGCCTTGTTTCGACAGGTAATTCATCGATTAATCATTTTTAATGGGAGCTCTATTTTATTTAATCTAATTTAATATACTTAGATATTAAAAAATCTTAATATATAATAATATAAGCATATCTTTTTAAATTTTTAGACAATTAGATTTGTATATTATATTATTGAAAACCTAAATATCGCAAAATTTTTTATAATAAAAATTAATTTCTATTTTCTACAAACACAAAGTAAATCATTATATGTATCAAATATATAAAAAATATTAATTGAAAATATTTTTTTATTTTATTACAGGTGTAAAAGCTTGAATTGCACAGCATTTGTGATCGACTTTGTGAGTAACATTTGTTACAGTGTGCAAGTAAAAGGCGAGGAACTCATTCCCGAAACTAACACCACGTTTTTCCATAAAATCTGTGTTAAAGGTAAAGATTGTTCGTTTTTCCGAATAGTATGCTGTAAATGCAGAGTATTATTTATATTAGTTATTTAAAAAATTTCCTCTCATCAGAGAAAAATGCACTTTTTAAAATGTGTTTTACTCTTCAGTTTCACCAAATTGCAAGCGACAAAGACTGTGGCAAGTAGAGAGAACCTTGGGAGCTATTTTAAAAGATGGATACTCCAACTTATATTTTCAAGCATTGTTACGGAGAAGCGAGTGTTACGAGAAATGTCTGAAAGCAGGTATGCACTCCACAAAATAATTACACAAATCGTGTGTTGAATATAATCTACCTGAAATAAATCAATTTCAATTTCTAAAAAATGATCATTTTTTTATGTATAAAATTCTGCACAAAATTTTTTTGTATAATATTAGAAAATGAATGCGAATCTACGCAATTTCGTACGAGCGAGCCTTTGTCAATTGACGATACCCTCGGCACGTGTTCGTTGTCAAAGTTCGAGAGAGGTACTAGACCGCAAGCCTACAGATCGTCGATGTATCGAGATGAGTATCTGCAAGATCAATGCCATAATATATGTAAGTCATTAATCTCTCTAGGCTTTTGGTTGCAAAAATCAATTGAATTGCATTCAACTTGTACATATTTTCATGTAGCGAAGAAAAACTATTGCTCTTATGCGGAGTATCGGAACGTAACACTGCCATACTCGGATATAGCATTACCGGGACTCGACTTGAAACAGGTAGATCTCGTATTTATCTTATCGGTTCGGGCGTGAATGAATGTGTGACTCAATTATGAACCTTTTAGTGCGAGGAGAAATGTGATCGCAGTCAGCATGGTTTCATATGCAGAGCCTACACCCTCGATTATTCGGAAGAGAAACCATTCTGCTTGCTGCATTCTGACGATACAATCAGTCTTGGAGTCAGTTCATTGGTTACCAGACCCAACGTCATTTATAAAGAACAAGAAGCTTGTCTAGATTGTACGTTTGCGATAAACAGATAATTTTATTAGCGATATTTCTTAATACTTAAACTTTTAACACTGTTATATTTTACAGTGAAAGTACAATGCGGCGAATCAACCATGACAGTTGTATTAACCACTGCGGAGCCTTTTGACGGACGGATGTATGTGAGTGGATTTGGAGATACTTGCGGTGTTAATGGTGTTGGGAATAATGTGACAATATTAAGAATACCGCTTCCGAAGAGAGAGATCATCGGTAGATCTAACATTGAGTGTGGTCTTACGCCCGCGTTTTCCATCAACAACGAAAATCGGTATTTGCATTCTTAAAACCCTATAATTGACAGTAAATTTGGAATTGTCATGCATTTGAATTGTGATATCTTGCGACGTCTCTTATTTGCAGAACGCATACATTAGTTTGGGCCACCATTGTCATACAATATAATCCAATCATCCAACGATTGGGAGATCAGTCGGTGAAAATTGGATGCTCCTTAGATGGCCGCGATATCCCGGAACCGCGAAACGTGTCCGTTAATTCGAGCTTTTCTTTCTTGGATCCAAAGTAAGTCTATCTTTTTTTCGTGCAATATCATTTACAATTTTTCAAATGAATGCCATCACTTTATAATTTAATTATGAGTCTGATATAAAAATCTTATCTCGATATCATTACAAGTATCCCCGATATTTTGGCTCTGGATATTCTTTTTAGCGCAGGCGTACCGCCGGTTGGATCAATCGTAATAAACGCATCATCCGAAGCACCAGTGGTGACGATGAGGATCCTTAACGAAGAACATATGGATGCAGTCGTTACCCAATTAGGACAAAAGTTAACGCTCAGAATTGAAATCCGACCTGTTGACGGTGGGTCACTCGCGTGTCTCTTGATACTTGTCAAAAAATATGTCAAATTTCACGTTCTTTTTCTTCACTTATGAATTTTTCTTGATCGATTCAAAGAAATGAAATTTTTTTCTAACGAAATTATGAAGCATCAATAATTTTTTTTTCACAGGACCTTACGATATCATAGCTGGACATCTTGTAGCTAGTAGCGCATCCGGAGATTCTTCGTACCTTCTTCTAGATGAATCTGGATGTCCGACGGATTCGACAACTTTTCCCGCGCTATTAAAGGATCCAATGGACAATCGTTCTCTGATCTCAACATTTACTGCCTTCAAATTTCCGGATAGTCAAATTGTGCGATTCAACGTCATCGTTAAATTTTGCCTCGAAGAATGTGAGCCAGTAAGTTGATGATTTTTTGAAAACTGTATAACACGTTTTCACGTTATTAAATTGTTATGTAATTGACATTATTATGGAATTAATTTTCATGTATATCACAGCATGTTAATTATTTTTAGCATTACAAATATTAAAAATATTAATGATAATTTTTAAATTAATAAAATGATAAATTTGTGACTTTTTTGAAGGCTACATGCAGAGGAGGCCAGATTTCATATGGCAGGAAACGACGATCGATCGAGCAGCCGCTCATCGCCGAGGTAACAGAAATTTTCAGAAACCTCACCCCCGCGGAATTACCGTTGCAACTTTCTATCGTCGTTCAAAGTCCGGTGATAACAGCGGACCATTTACTGTCCAGGGAAAATCCGGTTCCTGATACAGTTCTGATTACCGGTGGAAGTGAGTTTAAGAATATCGGTATCGTTGCCTCTTCCAAGCATCGGGAACGTCTATAAATCCATTCGCATATATTTCTGGTTTTTATGATTATAAAATTATCGTACAGTATAAATTATCGTACAGTATAAATTGTTTTTTAGGATCTATAGATGGCCTTATTTGCGTGGACGCGAGTCTGGCTCTGGGTCTTCTGATCTTTTGGTTAATAATTCAGATTATACTCACCGCCGGTTGCCTTTTAGCAGTTCGTCGCTATAGAAAGATGGCTGTTGAGGCCGAAGAAGACAGAGCTGATATATTAGCGAGGCATCTTTACGGGATTCACGGAGGAAACTTTGAAATCGCACGAAGAGTTAGATGGGCCGATCGAAACGATTCCTCGATTGGATGATTAGTTTTTTCAATTTTTCAAGCAAAGAGAATTCAGGTATTAAGTTGGTGGCCAAATTTTTTAAGTAAAATTAGAAACAAAATTTTCAGTTTTAATTTCTAAGTTTTAAAGAAACGATATGTTCAGTTGAAAATGCGAAGTCACCGAAAAAAAACCGGAAGCGCTAAAAGTTAGTGAAAATATCAATCTTTTGATATAATGCGATAATAATTTAAAAAAGATTGAAATTCACATAATAACTTTAGCATCATTAATCTTAGTCATTTAGAAGGTCATTTACAAATCAAAATGAAAATAAAGTGTCTATCACTAGTTATTATTTTTGCTTAACATGAATGAATATATTTGTAATGTATGTATATGCTATGGTATGTAAATATGTATATTTTCTACATATTAATCTTTTATTCTCATTAGAATATTTTTTTTATTTTTTGCATCGTTTAATGACGATTGTAAATTATCCACTCGTTCTTGTTGAACAGCGCCCATAATATTGCAATGTCACTTCTGTAAATATATTACATTTGATGTTTTAATGTATCCACCTAATAATCGCACTGCCTTATATATAATAAGTGTATTTCTTTTTATTTTAAACTTGATAGGACAAAAATTGTCAAAAAATAAGAAATAAATATATATTTACTAAATATTCACTATTGTACCAAATTTGTATGCTAGAACAATTAAGAGTATTAGATTAAATATTGAAGATATAGAAAGTAATAACGATCATTAATATTAATCAAAGATAATCAAGATATTTGATTAAAAAATATTAATAACTAATTCAACTTTTAATATAAAACCGAAAATTTTTTTTAAATTTTACTCTCGTTTCTAATAGAAAGCTTATATATATAACTTAATCATATATACTTTTTTAACAGCATGACAAACTAAATTATTGAATATAAGGATTCTTTCTCCTTTTTATTAAATATATCGTACCTTTTCCACATATTTGCGCACATCCTACTCCTCCTGGATTGGTATAATCAACATTGTCCGTACCGCAAACAGGATTGTATTCATTTGTCACCTAAATAATTAAAATGTGTATAATTAAAATGTATATAATTACAAGAATATTATCAAAATTATTCTCCAAACGAATACAAATATATATTTATATACATATATATTTTTACATATATATATTTTTTTTCAGTTGTCACAATTGTCTTTTTTATAGTCAACATATATTTTTTTTCAATTACAATTGTCTTTTTTACAATCAATATTTTGTAAATCGAGAGAAAGTATACATAGTATATACAACCTTCTTTAAAATGTACTTTTTTTCTTGTGTTTTTATTATATAATTTATTAGAACCAATTTACAACTCATTTTACATATGTAAAATAATTATTTATTTAAAACATTTTCTCGAATCAAATAAAATATTTATATAAACATTTGCATAAAATAAAATAATATTCTTAATTAAAAAATAATTACCGGACAAGAAGTGATGCACGCATTGTATTGATTCACGGACTGAGAAGTCGTAGTCGTAATACTATTTTCGTTCCTAGATGTCACAGTCGTTGTGAATGTTGATGTAGTTCTTTGTCCATTAGGCGGTGTGGCGACTGGTCCGTCAAAGACAAAATCTGCCTGAAATATCTTATTGTTACTCATAATCTAAATTTTTCGAGATATTTAGATACTGAAATAAATTCCCAATGGTTCTTTTTCTATTTTTGAGAAAATACGTATATATTCTTTCTTTAAAGGAAAATACAAAAAAGACAGAAAATTTTACATTAATGACATTATCCATCCACAAATTTGCGTGTCTGTGAAGCTGGCACGACAATCTACGAATTTTAAAAAAATATTAAAAGTTCTGATAGCATTTTTCATAATTCTATAGTTCCTGATAAAAATTGACAAGAATTCCACATTCCTTGTATAAGAAATTAAAATCGAAAAAATGTGCCAACTTTGCGAATCTAGCACGACAATCTTCCCTCTAAAGTACCAAAACGCGTTGAATATCATATTTTTAACAAGAGTTCCCGTTCTATTATAGATCAGTCTATATATACAATTTTAGATTGATATTTCAAAAATTAATAATTTTTTTATGAATTTCTAACGTTCTCGATCAGCACGACACTTAGTGAAAATGTGTCGTACAGATGATTTTCCGCAGTTTTAACGATAGTTCTCGACAGTTTTATAAAAGTTCTTTATCCTTTAGAAATAGTTCTACGCAGAGTTCCAACAGTTTAATTTTTTTAACAATTTTTTACAATTACCCAGCACGACAATCTCCTTCTAAAGTATTAAAACGCGTTGAAAATTACTATTTCTGATAATAGTTCTCGATAGTTCTGCTATAATTCAGCCTACACTGAAAAAAAAACTTGATTGAAAAAGGCAAAATTTTGTTTTGCCCAATTAAATATATTGTCCGATACGTTCATATAAATATAACTAAAATATTCCGAAATAATTTGTTGTAAACAAAGCTTATTCAAATCATCAAAACAGAGAGTTCAGTACAACGATGTACAGTTACTACAACAGAATCTTTTTTTGGTAAATTTTCAACCAAATTTTTTTTTCAGTGTATAATATGTAACTTTTGATATTCCAGTAATCAATGATATAATTATAAAAAATTATTTAACAAATAATAAGCACATTTTTTTAATTTTGATTTTTTAATATAAGGATTGCAAAACTCTTTTCAATTTTTATCAGGAACTGCAGAACTATAAAAAATGCTATCAGAACTCTTATATTTAATATTTTTTTTAAATTCGTAGATTATCGTGCCAGCTTGACAGACACCAAATTTGCCGAAAATTTGCTTAGATTTCACATTGTGATGTTTGTTTATAAAATACATACAGTTATTGCTTTTAATTATAGATGGGCTGGGACATAAAAAACACATTCTAACTTTATTGTAATACTTGTGTAAAAACCATCTTTTAACTATTTAAATATTTTTTACTGTTTGGATATATTTCTTTCTTTTCTTGTGCAAAAGAATATTCACTTACTTGTGGGAACGCAGCGATGAGAAACGGTGATGCAGCAACTATAGATAGAAATAATTAAATATAATTGACGATAATAAAAAAAATTGATTAATAAGTAGCACACGAAGCAAACAAAATCATTTTCTCACTTATTGTTAGCAAAAAGTAAAATAACATATTGATGACGTTAGTGACGTTTCGTTCTTAGAAGACCGCGCCGATCGGCTATTGAATAATGTATATATTCGAGATGATCTACCGAAGGTTGACGATCTACTGTTTCAAAGTATGAGCTGCATTCCCTTTTATAGCATTGGCTACCAGTCAGTGTTAAGTCAAACTACAGTTATATATATTTTTAGCGTAATAATGAGACTTACTATTTAACTAATTCACATCATGATTTTGCAGTTTTTTTATAACAACAATTTATTTTTTTTTATCAGCAATTAGCGTTATCAGCATATTAGTGTTAGTACCAGTAAAATAATATAATATTTGAATAAACTGGCTAATAAATCAAGTTAATTATTAGCTCGCAATTTTCAAATTTGTAAATCAAGTTAAAATATTTGCAAATTATTTAATATCTATAATACTTCTGCTACTTTTGTTCTTTTTTTTGAAAGAAATAAACTCATTTTCTTAAGAATAATATTTTCAGAGATTTTATTATAACCTCTTCATGTTCCAGCATTTATTCGTCAGACATATTTCTACAAATCATACAAGAATGCTAATAAAATCCTATTAACAGAATTATTATTTCTTTGATCGTATCGCTCATCAACGATAATGGAAAACGTTTTTGTTTTTGAGCTAGAATCATTTGGTGATAAAATGTTAATGTCAATATTCATAATTGTTGAATTAATCATATGATAAATAATGAAATGTATTACAAAATATTTTAATTTAGCTAGAATATTAAAATGTACACGTCAGTTTTCATATTAATAACACTTCGTGGAAAACATACACTTATACACATGCGATGTAGTAATCTATTGACTATTGATAACATATGTAAGCTTATAAGAAGATGTAATTAATGTGATAATAATTTGCGATTACGATAACTTGCATATCGAGAGAATATACTATAGTAATGTAAAAATCTGCAATATTTAATATACACATACAATATACAAAAAATGTCAGAATTATTGTTGAAGAAACAAAAAATAATAACAGTACAAAAAGTTAAAATTATAAAAGTATCAAAATATTAAGATATCTGTACTTGTCCATCTGGATTCTCACGTGTTGTTATGCCGTTTTCTCAATCATATGGAAGCGAATTATAAACCATGTGATATTTAACTACTGCTCAATTGGCTGTATGGCTCGCAAGCTCTAATCACCTTTATTTCAAGTCCTTAAAAAAATGTTTGAAATTATTAGACAAGATTCTTAAAACTATAAATAAATAAATAGAAATTATTAAATAAATAAATATGTAAACATAATTAAAAAAGAGAGAAAATTTGTTCAAAAATTATTTATGTGAATTTAAAAAATTATATTTTCATTAATAATTTTTTGCCCAATAAATATGTCTTAGATAAAAAATGTAATTATATACATACACACATGAATTACATATAATAAAATATAATAAAATATATATATATAAAACATGATATTTAAAACAATTAAAATAGTTTAAAAAATTGGATAATTATGATAATTAAGATAATTATAATAATTAAGATAATTAAAATAAGATATATTTAAATAATGAAGAAAATTTAAAAATTAAAATTAAAACTATTGAAAATTAAAAGTTGAGGAGAATTATAAAAAAATTGGAAGATAAAAAGGCAGAAATATAAGATTTAAAGAGAACTGAAAATTAATTGTTGAAAAAATTGAAAGATTTAAACTGAGAATTAAGAATTGAGACTTTTAAATTAATAATTGATATAAAATATAAGTTTAAAATATTAAAAATGAATACATATAAAAGTTTATATGAAGCAATAATATTTAAAAATTGTATCTTAACAATATTATTTTTGATAATAAACGAAGAACAATAAAAAACAATATAATGTAAAATTAATATTACTTACGTGGATTACAATTTTTTGCACAATTAAATCTTCCCATATTCCAATATGTAACATTATCGGTGCCACATACTGGGTTGTATTCTGCAGTTGCAATACAAGGACAATTCGTCGTTGCTTGTGTGGTGCTACTCGGCACATTATTATCATTATCATCAACATCAAAAATGTCACTCGACCACTGGAAATCTCTTTGCGGGAATGCCAAGGCGACCAACCAAATCATGGCCAATATTTGTACAGCTATTGAATAAAAGAAAATTACACAATGTAGATGCACGTTTTAGTATTGTAAACTTACTGAATATGAAAAAATACTAAATAAATAGAGAAAGAAGAGAAGTCATTCAGAGAGAGAAGGAGAGAGAGAATCTTTTTTTTAATGTTTAAAATTTTGCAAAAATTATATTAAGAAAAAGCATGTCTAAAATTAAAATATTATCTTAAAATTTTATAAAAAGAATATACTTAAAAGATATATTTCTTTTATTCTGCATATTTGACAAATCAATTAGTATTTATTGTTATATTATACTCACATGCAATAATATATTTCATGATTATTTTCAACCCTTATTAGCCTTTTTATAGTTCCAAAATGAAAAAGAAAAAAACGAGAAAAGAGAAAAAATCGGTCTTGAAATGATACACAATCAATCGATTCAACTCGAATGACGATCTTTGACTGTTTTTCAACTTATATATTTCTGTATATTCTTATCTTCCACATAATTTCCTTATATAGGAAAAAACCAACGATATGTCGAAAGCGGTCGGGGATAACCACATTACGCACTCGTCTCATTAACATTGATATTACGGATAGAATCATTTAAGGGGCTGACGTGAATTATTTCTTCATCGAAAAAAGACTCGGGATTAATTATTGACCTTCTAAATTAGGTGTATCAATTTTATATAATTTAATTATGCGCATAAAAATCATTATACGATTCTATTAAATTTTTAGCACAATTCGTTAAACTATAAAATAATAATTTTACATAATCTAGTCTTTGACTTTGAGTTTCAAATAATAAAGGATTGATTTCACTTATATACTTCTAGTTTAATAAATTTTTTGCAAAAATAATGAAAGATAAAATTTAACATTATATTCCAGTCATGACAAAATATGCTTTGTTGTGAATATTTATACGAAATTCAAAAATAGAAGAGAATTAACCTTGAAATTTTATACACACATAATAAGCAAATCATTTATCTCTTCCTCGCATACATGGACGCCTACGAAGCACACGCATACACAGATATCTATTTCCTGCTCAAACACTTCCTAGATCTATATAAGCGTGCTCTTTAACAGTCTGCATTTTTTACAGTCTTCTGGGTTATGACATTAGAACTGTGGAAATCCATGCGGTTGATATTTGTGCAATTTGCATTTACATAAATAATTTTTCATAAAATCTAAATAAAATTAATTTCCAATAAAATAGATATTATTAAAGTAGTTGCGCGAAATATAGTGAATATGTATATTGATTTTAATATATTTTAATATATTTTTATGTTATAAAAACGTTTCCTTTTTCTTGATATTTTACTTTTTTTGAAAAATTATTAATAATTAAAAATCTTATATACAAATCTCTATATAGATTATCAACAATACAAATGTCTTATTGAAGCAAATAAATTTTGTTTAAAATATCTTTTAAAATATTTCGTGATGTGTGGGTATATATATATATATATATATATATATATATATATATATAATAATTGTAGAAACAATTTAATCTGTATAATTTTTATTCTCTCATAATTCTACTGGATTATTGATTGAATATAGAATCGCTGTAGTAGCTAAGGCACTGATAGAAATAAGACTTCACGTGTCTGTGCATAATCTTTATTTATAGCAATATCAATCTTTCTCGGATGACAGCGTATCGTCATGTGTCGGTAGATGTTTTCTTATACGCGTACCTCGATATAAATCGTCCATACTAAAAGTATGGCAATACTGAAAAATCATTCATACACGTATTTTTATTCATTTACGACGTACCATTTTAATACGAAATGCAGCTGATCTCATTCGCGTGAAGCGTGTAATCTTAAATTCTATGTACAATACGTATACATGCTCCGATAAATGAATGAAAATATACGTATATATATAGCATATGGACAGTCAGTGCCAAGATGACGGCCACGATGCGCGTGATTCATTCGCAAATATATCTAGGGAACGTTCGAAAATCCTACCGCTCGGGAAAAGTGACGTTTAACTGACCAATCGGGACAAAGAAATCTTTGCTCCCTATTGGTCAATTAAATACACTCCACTCTGTGAGTCAAATCTCCGAACGCATCCCTAGGCAAGCCTCGCCGCCGCGAATCGAGGCAAGGCGCTGTTCGATAAGCCGGGCGTGAACGTAGGAGACGTTCGAGCGCACAACCGAGATGTCGAGGAACGATGGCAGGAAGGATACTTCGGCGTCCGCGTTCCGCAAGATCGACGTGGACCAGTATAGCGACAACAATTTCAAAGAGGAGGACGCCGATGGTGGCGTAGGCGCGCCCACCGGTCCCGACGAGAACGAGATTTTGACACTTCTTAGCCAATATCCTTTACAAAGCTCTCGCGTTCGATAAAGGCTTTACCTTTCCAGCAATCTCATCGTTCACGAATTTTTTCCTTAGCACTTTATTAAGGGTAAGAATGCGGAGGCGCTAATATCGGTATTAAAGTCCGCACCACTGGAATGTAAAAACCAACAAATCAAGGTAACCTCAAAATATATCCTGCGTGTTATAACTATTCGTTTTCGCAGAATAATATACTTTTTATTATTTTATATATCGACCCCAAGTCCGAGAATTTGTTTTACTCTTTGACAATCCATTACATTATTCTTTAGGATATTACTTTGAAATTATCTGCTTTTGCGCACATCTGGAATTAATAATTTATGAAAATCATAGATATACTTTGTATATGATTTAATTGTTTATATCAGTGTATTCCTAATACATAACTTTAGCGTTTTTCAGCAAGTAACACAGAGGACACAGTGAAGTCATATTTATCCTTGCCAAATGTAAACAAGAATGAAATGATTCATGTGTTAAACTATGTCTTCTGCGTCACTTGCTGAAAGACGCCTTTTATATTTTATACAATATTACATATATATATTCAGTAGTAGAACATAAATTTCCATATATATATGTGAAATATATCTGTTTGCAGGACAGTGCACGGAACCTGACACTAAAGGTGCTTCTAAGTATAAAGTCGAATCAAATGGACGATTGCTTAGCACAATTAGATCGTGATTTAGTGGATGTTCTAATGAAGTACATTTATCGAGGTTTTGAAATTCCAACGGAAGGTAGCAGTAGTCACTTGTTAATTTGGCATGAAAAAGTATTTAATATAAGCGGCGTTGGTTGCATCGTTCGTGTATTCTCCGACAGCAAACGGGCTTGAAGTTTTGTACATTTCGCAGTAACGCTCATTACGGTAATTACCATTAATTCTTACTGTTATTCATCGTCATTGTTAATATGAGGATGTAGATAGGAAAGCCATTCACATCATTTTCCATATGGAAAATATAACAAATTTGTGTACATTTGTTATCAATAAAGTAATTTTTATTTCTTGTACGTTTGAAGAAATAATCCCTCTACATTCTCCATTGTTGCTCTCATTTTACTCTAAGAAGTATAAATAAAAGTGATTTCACATTTATTTATATATAGTAATAATATAATTATGTATAATAATATATTATATAATTATTAATATATAATAATATTATTTATACATAAATGAGAAGAAACATATTTGCTTATATATTTTGTGATATTTAATATTCAAATGTGTACTATTATAATGTAATCTCATTATATTTCAAAATTTGACGTGTTTCACTTATATTTTATACTCTTTAGAGTCCATCCAGCTTCTTTGAAAGAAGCTACAAAGGAGTATATATATATATATATATATATATATATATATATATATATATGTATACATATGACATTATTTTCATATAACAACAATAAAGTCATTCTCATATCTGAACATTTCATTGTATATACTATTATTGACCATTACAATGAGAATTGACGACTAATATGATATTTATACCTGGCTCTTTAAGTTGGCACAAAATAAAAGTATAAATAATTTAGAATAATAGACCAACACTTTCATTTTATATATATGTATATATATGTAACAAAAACTATAATGCAATCAGATAACACGGAAATGTAATGATGTTAAATTTTCTATATTAGATATTTTTAGGTTCTATTGTTCGTATAATTGAATATGCAAGATTAGCAGGTTGTAATATCTATAGATTATCTGACTTTTGTGATATTATCACATTCGATTCTGGAAATTCATTGTAGAATTGAGATTTACTCACATTTATCCTTTACAGTAAGCATAATCATATTTGTTTGGTGTATCAGATACAGTGCACTCACAAAAACTGCATTTGCTCTGTAAGAAATATATATATATTGCATTATATTGTGACAAATATGAATGTGAGATTATAAATCTTTAATTTTTTTTAGATGTATTATTAATTTTATTTCAATTACACTTTATTTATTCAAATTCTATTTTTTTTATTTTACATTAATTTAAGAATAAATTATTAAAATTTATTATTATTACATATTATGGTTTAAATACTAAATACTATGCAATATATAATTTTTTAAACTGTCTTTAAAAATATATATACTTACTGTCCCTCTTTGAAATATTCCTTCAACGTATTGCTGAATCTTTTACTGTATTTCACAAATTCTCTTTTGCGTTGATCTAATGCTTGTTTACCAGTTGAGCCAGGTATAAATCCGGTAACTTCATTCACAGCATCTAAAAGTTTCTTTATCGCACTTGCTATTTCTCTGAAAGAAAATATAGTTGATATAGATTATATCTTAATAATATCTTAACAATATATAAATTCACGTTTTTACATATACAAATGTTATACAAACTTGATTGTTTCGAGAAAAGTCTTTCTATCTGTGATCTCATCAGGAATTCTACTAAGTATTCTTTTCAAGGAAGTAGATTTGCGATTTAGTTCTTGAAATGCATCTTCTGAACGTGCTGAACGATATTCCACAACTGTAAACATAGACAAAATATAATTTATCTAAAAAAAATCTTAAAATGAAGAAATCATGGATATCACAACTATCTCAATAATAAATATGAGATATAATTGCATTTTCTATATAAAGAATTAGGATAAAAACAAAGAAGTAAGATTTATCTTACCATCGTAATCAGATGCAGCGCCTTGCAATCGTAAAACACTCTCGTTCATATCAAGATTGAGTTCTGCTCTGCGTATTATACCCATAATTAAATCATGTGTAATCCCAGGATGTGAGCTCTCTGCTTTTGAGAGAGCTGCGCGTAGAGTTTGCGCTGCCATGACATTTTGCCTTTCCAGCTATAAAAATTTTATACATTATAATCAATAAACGTTAAACATCTTTAACAAAACATTTTTTACTAAAAATGCAAAGTATACAATATAAAGAGCAAATAATTTGTCAAGTAAACTAAAAGAATGCTTTCGACTTGTTTTATATCCACTTTTGTTCCCTCATACTGTTTGAAAAATAGCTATCCATCAACATTATACGTATGATGTATAAAAATGAAATTATTTGAGAAAGAGATAATCATATTAGACCATGACATATTTACAAGCAAAGCAGATAATACCTTGGTTAATATCGGTCTTAATATTACAGGAAGAACCAGTGATGTAACTGGGATCTCATCGCCCATTGTCATCCTTCACAGTGTGTGTTGTCGTTTGAGACGTCAAAAATACAAAGAGTCGAGACGCGAGAGGCAAAGTCGACGCTGCTTCGGGACGAACGACTGACAAGAGGATTGTTTACACACCACTGACTCACACCAGCATAACTCTTTCTATGACAGCTGTCACAATAAGAGCTAGATACGCGGAAATGAGGTTATTCGGCACTGCCAACATTAGTCGGTTACGAGTTGAAAATATAAAGTAGAGATCTGTTCGTTTTAGCACTTTCTACACTTTTGACCTCCGTTTTATTTTTTTTCTTCAGAAACGCGAGTTCTACGCATTTTATTTTAGATAGAAAAATGCAAGAAACGCAGCTCGAAACGAGAATGAAGTATCTAATGTTATTTCCGCGTCGGTGAAACCTGCAGGTGACGTGCATTCTACTTGTATCTGTTTCGTGTCGAGTGGCGATATATTTTCTCTCGATTATCGTAATAATCATATTACAAATTAAATGAGCTTTTTATGCAAACGCACAGCCTGTTATTATCTTAATAGTTATTATCTCAATGCGCTCTCATTCGTCGCTCTATATATCAGCATTTTTCGCACGATTTCTCTCGAACAATTGGCAATGAAATTTATGTTGCGAATCATTGCCGATGGAAAAAGAAACAATTGGAGCATATTCCTTCCGACATTTCATTATATTTTTTCCCGTGCCTTATTAACGTTTGAAAGTAGCGGGTGATAATCACTAGTGAAAATTGCGAGCGCTGTATAATTTCGAGAGTTGCAAGCATTAACAAGTTCCAATAATCGATAACTTCATGATGTACATTAATTGCGACGAATGAAATGTATTCATCTGCAGAATGGAGAGGTACGTTCCCCATTAATAGGTTAATTAATAGGTTAATTAAAGTCGTGAGTGAAAAATATACAATGTTTTAGATAATCAAGATGATCAAGATGAATAATTATCGAGCCATTTGCATCATTATTCGAGATTTTATTTTACTCTCATAAGCATGAACGCGGTCACCTCTCATAACCACTAAGCCTGAAATTTGATCAAAGAAATTTCATTTATTTTAATTCGTCAAATTTCAATATTTAATGCGTCGTCTGATGCGGACTTTACCATCATCCTATCGAATGAAAATATCTTGTAAATTGAATTTGCATAAATATTATCAGATATTTATTTGAAGATAAGCTTAAAATTATATTTTTGTCTACGTAGGCTGTTCCGAGGTGTACGACCAGCGAATATTTTGGATTTGAAATTCTGACGTGCGCGCCATTTTTGTCGCCTGTTTCGATGCGCGCGCAAGTGGTCGCCATTACTGATTTGAGTCTCGCAGTCGTGAACGACGCAATCGACGCGATCGCGTATATTTTACCGAATTTCTTCGAATTTAGTGGTGCGAAACTGTCGAAAGTGCATACAAGTCGCGAATTGAAACTCCACGAAATCGAGGTGATAAAAGATTTCCGTGAAAATCGCGATAATATCGTTTAATCCGGAAAATTGTCCATCGCGCGTTTCGCGATCCTTCCCGCGAAGAACATTTGTGTCGCCACAAGACAATCGGAGGAGCAAGAGGGATTCGGAGGACTCTGGATGCATAATCTACGATGGAAATTCGAGAATTGAGAATTCAGGATCTGCTGTTGAATACTAAGGAACGAGGCCAAAATCCCGTCTACAGCAGCAACGAGAAGAAGGTAAGTATCTTAGATGTTAATTAATCCATTTATAGTATTTAACTGATACTATACGTTCTTGAAATATTAATTTTATACTTTGAATAAAAATACAGCAATATATTTTTTCATAAGAATAATTTGCTGTAAATTTTTAGCATATTTGTAAAGAAAAGAATTGTTATTATTTTGCATATAAAAAATAATTCAAATTCAAAGTTAAATGAAATTGTTTACATTAGAAAATAATTAAATAATAAAATAATTGATAAAAAATAATTTAATTTCAAAGTTAAGTGAAATTGTTTACATTAGAAAATAATAAAATGATAATACAATTTATATGCATATTTAAATATTTTTGTATGTATATCACACATAAAATATCTTTACTTATGTACAAAATCATAGAGTTTTACAAAATTTCAGATATATATATAGAATTGTAGCAAAAAATTCATTCATATTCTACATATTTCACAATCATGTAAAGCGTAGAGTATATTTGTTATATAATCATTAAAAGAAAAAGGTGTTGATTACATGGTGATCGATGTGAATAATACAATTGCTTTTTATACGAGAAAAGAAATTTATTTGATTGATAACGTAGGGATATCCAAATACGTATATAAACAGTGTGTGTATAAAAGTATAAAAAATAAATATTAGTAGCGCATGCACGCCGTCATTTTGCAAGTCTCGTGGGTATAATGAGTTGGTCGAGATGCGCCCTTGACAACACGGGAATGCGTTGCGAGCACAGCCGAGAGTAAAACTACGTGTAACAATAATGATAATTGTAACAGTAGCACGAGAAAATAGGCGAATCGTTCACTTTAAAAAGATAACACACTGCTGAGAACGAGACAGCATTTACAATCTATTTATAATTTCTATGGTTTGTTACGCGTGAATCACAGTATTTATAAATATTTTTACAGTTTTATTTGATGTTATTAAAAATTGGAAATTGGTAAAAAATGATTTTTGCGAATTTTTCATAATTTCAAAGAGATATATTTTAAAATAAAAAAATTAAAAAAATTTTAATTGTACATCTATATCTGGTATATTATTTTTAAAATAATTGGGTGATTTATACTTGTAATATATAGTCCAGTATTTCTTTTATAATTGTAATATAATCATAATTATATTACTATAATTGACATTGTATTAAAGTGTTACAGTAGTTAAAGTTAAGTTTCAATTCACTAAAAACATTCTATAATGCTCACGTCTTTTACTCACATAAGTACAAGCATTTTTATATTTGCTAACTAGTTTGTATTTCGCATGTTTTACATTTGAAAGACTAAATTGGAAGATTATTGCAGATTTGCACATTTTAGAATTTACTGTTTAATTCTGCTAATTAATTGTCTTACACACATGATATGAACGATTCAACCCTTACATTATATTATAATTTTATAAATATAAATTAGGTCTGTATGTATAGACAGATTTTGGGGAAAGTTTCTTAATCTCTCAATTTTTTTATCCCCAGTATGTAATAAACTCTTGTTTACAACGATTTTTGCGGTTTCAAAATTTCGCTACATAAGATTATTTATCTCAATATAAATGTAATATTAACATTAATATTCCCAAGCGCGCGCATATTCAATACAACACACACACATACACACACACACACATGTACGCACGATTAAATTAAATTAGATATAAATCCTCTAGTTCAAAGAATTACATGGCACATTTAATCGGATTTCGTCATAACGGAATCTACAATCAAGGATTCTTTATAACGGAACACTCATTGATATTTGTCAACTTTCTTGTGTACTTTTGGAAACCAATTGCGTCAGAGAATATTCTGGTCATGAGAGGTCACGGAAAAACACAGAAAGACCCTGCTCGTGATTACTCGTGACATGAACGTTAATTAGTGCGTAATTGATCGCTCGCGATTCGCTGTTCACGCAAAGAGTCTACGGTGCCTGCTCTTATCGCAAACATTGTCGCAGTTGTCTCGCGACAAATATACGCGATCTCGTGTTATCATCTTAAATTATTTTTGCGACCTCGTTTGCGGGGAGACATTTTTCATGACTGTCGATTTATAATCTACACTAATCGTCCCTAATTGATGAAGTCGGTAAACGATTGAGACTAATCGCATACAATATCATATATAAGATTGCAAGTTCTCACAATTTATTTATAATAACATGTTTTGCTGGATTTGCCAACAATAGTCGATAAATTAATCACGATATCAAATATGATATGGATCGTCGCGGGGGATCTTCCAAAATCAATTTATCTTGCATAAGTCTGCAGGTTCTTACAATCCATTTATAATAACATGTTTTGAATTCATCAACGATAATCGATAAAACCATTGTGATATTAATCACGATGGATCCTTACAGGGGACCTTTCAAAATTGTTGTATATGATGGAGATTAAGATATCTAGAAATAATATAATAAATGATTTATTATACTGATATATTAAAAAAGAAACCTTGTAATACACTAAAATTAAATTTTATATCTAAATCTTGATTATATTTTATTTTAAATGGCAGTGACTGATTGAATATAATCGTTTCATTTAATATTTAATTTCATTAAATATTCTTAAATATTCGCACATCATGCCATCATGTTTTTTAGAATACGTCGCGCATGTGAAAAGATCAACGTTTTTATGAATCCAATGATCGATTTTGGTCGCATTTTCGATTCACCATTTTTCGTAGGCCGATTAAATTAATTATTTAATTATTGCTCTACAATTCAACAATATTTCCTTAAATATATATTATCTATTCGTTCAAGAAATTCACGAAGATGTACTTTCCATTACAAACTATTCTATTTTTTTTTTTAACTTTTTATAATTTATCTTGGATAACATTCTTCAACTTTAATCATATATCAAATATATCAATCTATATATAATCGATATATCATGCTACGATAAGTTTTTTTATACAAGCATTGACAAGAATATCTGTTAGCTCTTCTTTTTTCTTTTTATTGATTCCAAGAAAATATTTGTCATCGATAAAGCTATAGAATCTCATGTAAATAATGAAAATTAATTTTAACTGGTGTAATACGTTGTTTCATTTGAAGCAAAGTTTTCTTCGAATTTAATCTTTTCCATTATCGCGATTTTTTTCACGAGATCATGTGTAGAATGACAATTTTTCGCACAACTTCTCCTTGGGATTGGAGACATCCAACACTTTTTAGAGAAACGTGAAAACGATTTATACAATTCGGAATGATATTAATACTTTGGTGAATTTTGCTCGTTACTTTTATCCCTTAATTATGTCACAGCGCAGACACATCTAGTCACTTCATTTAATCACTCTTTCGTTATACCATTGCAACGATAACGTCAAAAACAGCTTCATTATCGAACGGTCATCTTCAACGTCCGTTAACCACCCGAAAACTTTAACAAAGAGATCCACGAGACTACTTCTTCTAGATCTCATCGATCAGTTCGATCGTCAGTGTTAGTCCGATAATCCTCGCCAAGAGGATGATCTTTTCAAGATCTTCTACGCAGGCGCCTGCATTGGTCTGTGAATCGGCACCGAAATCACGTAGATGTCCACCTTTTCGCCGGTCGTCTTGTCGATGATTTTGCCGTAGTTGACGGAATCGTAAGAAGGCGGCGCGAACAGATGATAAGGTGGTGGTGGAGTTTCCGTAACTCCAGGGGTATTTATCGTCTCGGCCCGCTGTGCATAGGGCACCGATAAAGATCGGCTACCTCGTCGACAGCACCATTCGGAGCAGCTGACAATGAGGAAGAACGCCACCAGGCCGCCGAATGAGCCGATGTACCAAACTATTGACCATGGGTCCAGCGGACTCTGCAGATCGCTGTTGACTACAACAAAACGGGGACCTGTGAGAGAGCAGCTCTCGTTAATAACCAGAAATGTGTTAATTTGTTAAACTATATGCTCATGCAAGAAGATTAATAAAGGTGCAGCTGCAAAATGAAGAATAGGATGTTTATAACGAGAATTTAAAAAATTAATTTTTTAAATCGATTAATTTTTATAACGAGAAATCTTGGCGAATCATGTCAGAAATTTTATAATTATCACGTTAACGAATAATTGTGATTCGTAGATTTGCATGAAATTGAAATGATAAAAATGTAATTTATAATTTGAATATGAAAGGTGTAAACACATACACATACACATATGTATATAATCATATTTTCATTTATTCACATAATCTTTTATTGTTATGATGACATGTTTGATAAAAACATCGAACGTCGGATTTAAAATTACATTGCTTATTTATCGTTAAAAAATACAAGAAAAGTATTAAGAAATATTTATTTAAACATAGTTGTTAAATTTGCATATTTTATTTGCTAATATAATTTGCTTGGAATCTTACACAGCGTATTTTTGTACTTTATACTCGCGTTGAAAAAATTGGCAAATTGCTTTGCGAAAATAGAAGCGATAATGATTTCGTACAAATGGCATATTCTACATTCTTGATATGGTTGCGATAAATATTTTTAAAAAAATTTTAAAACCACGCTCTTCTTTTTCATTGACGATACGCGCGTGGAAATGACATTCTCGATTGCTGTTAATACATGACGAGCACGAAGTGAAACTTGGAAAGACGATGTAAATGAAGATGGAACGACCACTAATTTGCATAAATCCTTGGCAGGAGCGGCATAGATTATTCTTTGCAGTCGTGATTTTAACGGAACGCTAGTATAGTTGTGATTTAAAATCTCGTTTGTCTATGATTTTATTGGCATTAAACTCGATTCTTTATAATGTAATATTTTTAACATATTGACTTCTTTCGATTTATGTTCAATATTATGCAAAAGATAAATATGATTACTAATTATTTATTACTATAATCAATTAATAATTATTTAATTTTAGACATGTAAATGTAAAAAAATTAGATAAAATCTGTTGCTATTTAAAATTTTTATTATTATATTATAAAGTTATAGTTTTATTATTATATTACATAGTTTTTCTCTCGCCATTGAAAATATTTTGCATTTATTATATAACATTTAATAGTTTTGATTAGTAAAATGATTATATAATTCGACATCGTTTACGAAGAATTACATTAATCATCTCAGTCATAATCTCAGTCATAAAAATGAGTATGTCGTGTTTCATGGTAAATTGATTTGTATTTGACGTCAGAGGAAAATATTGGAAAAAGAAATCAAGAGTATAGTACGATATGGACGAAACGAAGTAATAATAGTATATAATTATCGATATGTAAATATTCAGCGAAATGTTAAAAATTCGATAGAGTATTTCCGCTTTTAGCGTTTGCTGACCTTTATGAAAGCTTGATATGAATGTGAATATAAAAAAATATGCAAGCGTGAAAAAAGATTAATGAAATACATCTACACAAAAGCATCACTGAATGATGCATGAACATGTTCGTTGATAGCAACAGGAAGTGCGCAATACTATTTATTATATGAAGTCATTCTCTCGTGTTCATAAGTAAAAATGATTCATATTTTTTACCGATTTCTTCCGTATCTCTATCTTTTTCCACTTTCTCGTCCTTCCTTTCATAAATTACATAGGGCCCTTCGTCGTCATCGTTGGATTTCGAGTCGACTGAATGATTGTCGTTTACGCTGTAAGTGGCTTTATTGCTCTCCATTCGTCTTTCAGCACCGATGCTGTAACTCGACACTGCGTGAGCTGCGACACAAATTGCAACCAATTAATTAATGTGTACTTAATTTTATGCTTGAATATATAAATTATATTTTCTGAAATTTGTATATGTGTATGTGTGCACTGAGAAAAATCGTTTGATTGTATCATCAAGAAGTATCTGACAGAAGACATTTTGCTTAAACCAAGCAGAATTTCTAATTATCATAATAAGACTCGATTTTTTATAATTAGAACGTTTAATAGATTTCACTACAAGGATTTGATTAGTATTTTCTAGTTGGATCTATAATATATACTTCTTGTTATATTAACTAAACATGGACAGAGTGATGCCATTTTTTGTAAATTTAGTATTATTACCAAGAAAATTTGGTAAATTTAACAGGAAGAAATTAATCATACTCATCTAGTAATTCTTAAAGGAATTCTGATTCGTCCATTTTCCAATAGACATACTGATTGAATCTACCAAGTTTCTAATTAATGCAACCAAATTTTTTCTCAGTGTGATATATGTATGTGCACTTATATCACTCTTACTCTTACATCACTCTTATTCTAAAAGTATTCATATATATATATATATATATATATATATATATATATATATATATATTTCTGGATAAAATTAACGCATAATTTTTTTTCATTTTTTCTTTAAAATTTTTCGTTAAAATTTAAATATCAGCTTTTAAAGAAAAAATGAAAAAAAAATTATGCGTTAATTTTGTCCAGGAGTATATTTGGGAATATATAATGTAATCGTAGTCATTTAATTATCTTTGATATTTAATTCTCGAATTTTTAATATATATTTCTAAATCTTTCAAATATAATTAATATGTGATTATATTACAATTTGATGTAGAAAAGTTATCTTTTTCCTTTAAATTATTATATATTTATTAATCGCTTTTTTACTCGTCCTTTTCCTCAAAAAATTTCAAATATCACGCAGTTTATTTACCGCTTGCTCGCATTCCCAAATAGGACACAACTATACGTGTATTATCGAACGAGATCTCAGGGCTAAAGATGTTGTAACACCTAACAAACAACTCCGCCTGTCACTCGCTAACTTGAATCGCAATGTTAGAAACTGCTATTCACGTGCTACTTATTAAGCCAACTCTATTTCACCGTCAGTCTTGCTCCGATTTGTTGGTATACGCGTATCTTTTAATAAATAATAATAAAAAGACTAGAACAAACATTCGTAATTATTAGCAAATCAATCATAATTTGATTAATTATTGCCCAGGTATTCTAAAAAACTTTTAATTGCAAACGAACGTTATGTTAACGAATTTATAAACGAAAACCTCTCATAATCATTTCTTTAGTATAAACATATTGATGATTAGACGGTCGAATAAATTCAATCAATATAATAAAGATCCTTGACATTTCCAAGTAATTTTCACAAATAGCTTCTTTTTCGTAACAAGATTAGTCTGAATAGCACGTTCAAAAACTATTTTTGTCTATTACAGTATCAATATTTGATTTTGCTTGCAAAGTTAAATTTATTCTTAGGGAGTCATATCGACATTAAGTATTACCGCAAAGTAATTTCAATTATGAACAGTCTGGAAAGAAGTTTCGCGAGTTCATAAAAGTCGAAGATCGCGTTACGGTCTTTAAACTTTTATCTGTACATAACAACATCCGTTTTTACAAAGAAAAGGAGTAATCGAGAATATAAGAAAATAATTTAATGCTGAAATAATAATTATAAAAATTTCAGATATAATTAGCGACAATTAACAAATATTATTGTCAAGTCTCTCGATAAAAAACATGTTTTTTTTTTGCTTTTCTTTAATCAATTATATGTTGATGAATATTTTGCTGCTCTGTGCTATTTTCAGCTCATTGTTTTACACTTACAAAGTGATAAGACGTAAAATCGATCGAAGCTCAAGCTTCCCTTTTTAAAAGAAATGCTGATATATTGTTACTACATTTTCTTAAAGCGAGGTGTGGTCGATACCTTTCAGTTCTGCCAGAAACTCGCGTCTCTATCCTGACACGATTACCTACTACTTAGCAGCACCGTTGCCTGACCAGATTTGGCTTTGGCTTTATAGTCAGAGTCACTTACGTTTAAGAACACGTTACGATCCGCGCTTAAAGTTGCTTTTGCGTTAAATGCAAATTTGGTCTAATATGTTAATACGGTATAATTTGCTAATACACTATAATTTAGTAATATGTTATGATTATATTGTAGCGAGTTGAAATACCCTTAATATAATTTCGATATGTCGATTATATTTGAGGCTCTTTAAAATTGATCAAATTTATGTATAAAACTCATATGTGAGAAAGATGAAAAATACAATTGTAATAAATACTTCTTCTTGCGCGATTGTATTAATAAATGTTGCAAAGCTGAAAAGAGCACAGGGAAATAATAAATGATTTTAACATATCAGAAATATATTATGAATATATTATGTCAACACATAAAATCCCATTTCAGATAAGAGATTAATACTTTTCGATAAGTTTTATTTTGATAAAATAATTAATAAATAATAAAATTAATGAATATTTTCAAAGTCCGAGGGGGGGATAAGAAATACTCAACTTACGTGTTACTGTCAAGATAATAATTCTTTGTAAGCATGATCGTTTTCAGTTTGTTGATCCGTCGTATCATTGAAGGTTGTGTGTAATTAAAGACAAAGTCACGCGAAGTAGAGAGAGGGAGAAAGAAGAGGGGAAGAGAAACGAACAAAGACAGAAAGAGACGTAGTCGTGTCCTGACACTGTGTATGAGAAATGTCCATTACTTTTTGCTAGCTACGGCCTCGTCAGAATCACAGCATCCACGTTTCGCGAGTCACGTATGCTTTTCGATAAACAAAACCGATTATGAGAGGGATTTCCACAGACATGAATAAGTAATTTAAGTCGCGACAAATGAAAACTTTTCGCAATTTTTTATGCGCGCGTGCAACTGACAGACACAAGTGCAAACCTTATAATAAAATGAAATGCGAGAGAAGACGATCCTGATTTTCATCTCTTTGATATACATAACGATAGTTTTTTACCATACATGATAATAAGACGCTTAAGTCACACAACAATGTCGCGCTATAACAACAATGTGTGAAATTCAGCGGTCGCTTTGCGCGACGTATAGACGCTATTGTTTACATGTCGCGAGGTCGTCTCATCATTCACGCAGCGAGGCTCGAAGGGGAAGAAACGTGGCGCAAGTGCTCCGTATTAGATCGCGAACAAAGCAACAGAATCTATCTTCATCTCATCTTAACATCTATCATAACAGGTTTGTACTTATGTCAACTGCACGCGTCGCATAAAAATCGCGTAATTTCACATCTGTCGCGATTTAAATTACCTCATATCAGTGGGAATGCGTAGTAGTGATTTCTACTTCGTATTATATTTACATCGATGCATCGCGCATCGCAAACGTGTATGGGAAACGGTTAATATTAACGTTGTTACGATGTATTATGCGACAGACGTAGCGTTTACGTAACGGCTCTTAGGCGCGATCGCGAGTCACGTTTCAGCAATCGATCCAAGTGTTTGAACGTACGATTGACTACGCCTAAAATGTTAATTTTTTCGTTTATGACCAATGACCAGCGAAGCTCACAAGGTTGCGCTTTACATATATATATTATAACATCACGATGTTATTCTGAGCATACACACTTGGTCACGTGAGCAGTTTATTCACGTGAGAGGAACTTGATCTCGGTACTTATAAGCATTGTCGTCTCGATAGGCTTTGTCTTTATATGCTAATTTGCCGCTCGTAATCCGAAATGTGTCGTGAAAATAATTTATTTGAAAAGAACTATAATACTGTTAAGCTTTCCAACAAGATGCTTAAGAGATAATTAACTTTCCTTATTTACACCTGCCGTTTCAATTATGTAGCGTACACAGACGTACATATATGTTTTTTTATTAAGAATATTTTCAAAATATTATACGACTATATGACATGTTACCAATATTATCGTGGCATATTTATCTTGTCTTTGTTAAGAAACGTTACATATCCACTTTATGTTGCTGTACGTTGATAAACTTTTCTCTCTCACGTAAACTTTTGAACTTTAAAAGAAGGAAGTCTCTTTAAAGTCTTTGCCGTTCAAACATTTCCTTGTGAAAATGACTCCTTCTGTTTCGCGCGAACGTTGTTTATAAAGTTTTATTTGACGTGCGCGAGAACGACTGAGATACATCGTGGTTACGGAGACACCGAGTTGATCGAAATATTTGCAAAACTCTGGTCAGCAACGGAATCAAGACAAATCGCTGACATAGTATAGCGACAAGTAATACTTTGAAATCTTATAGAAAAAAAAGATTATATAAGAGTCTAGAATTTATGATTTTGCAATCATAAATTTTTTTTAAAATGTTATTAATTCAAGATTTGTGCGCATGCAAAAATAAATTGTAAAGTCTACCTTTTATAATTCTATTTGTCCTCTTAATCAATTTTAAATTCAATTTTAAATAAGCTATTCATTTTTACACAATATTTGGCTTAAATTAATTAACATCATTTTTTTTATTTTTATTTTTTTTACAATGCTTCGTTATAAGCTCGCAAATGGCAAGTTAAATATATGATTAGATGTCAGAGTAATAAATATCATAAAAATCGATTATCGTAAAAATCGAATATCTCTCGTATCTTTCTTTATTTCTCATAAAGAACGCATCACGCGACGAGATACTCCTTATGCATCCACATGCGCACGTTATCGGGAAAGTAGAAAGATTCATATGTGTACCTCAAGCGAGGTTCAACGTGAGACATTTTAATGATCGCGTATATCCGTTGCGTATATCCGAATTGGGTTGATAGATCAATAATTCATGAAATTATAGCTCGGCGCAATACGCACAAGTTGCACATTTTCATTCATCCATCATCATGCATTCGCCATCAAACAGCGGCATACATATCTGCCTCTTAAAATTGTCTGCTTATAATTGTCGCTTATAATTTTAGCCATTTATTCTCAGTGATGTAAATCTAGCTTGAAAACATTAATTTTAATTATAAAATAATAAGTAGGATAGAAACGTTGATCCCCTAAGATTTTTCGAAACTGATTTCGCAGCCGGTTTTTCCACTTTTTTCAAAATAAAGGATTTGTTTATATAGATTGCTATACAAGTTTTGTCCGCTTGTTTGACTAAAAAACTATTTTTTAAAGATATTTTGTATCTAAATTGCATCGTAATCTACATGACAACTTTCTATCGTTTATCGCTTTTTTGTTATCAAGATTTTTATAACAGGATATTTATAATAAAAAATAAATAAAAAATCATGTAGTGTCTTATATAGATAAAATTAATAGCTTTCAAACACATATACGTTATATTTGGAATATCTAATCAATGATATAGATTAACAAAAACACAATATTTTACTTACTCTTCTTTATAGATAATAGTCTAAAAGTACTAAAAGTTTCTTAGAAACGATAAGATAAGTTCTTATGTTTATATTAAACAGTGTCGGACAAAGTTTATATAGCACTTTAAAGCACTTAATAAGAGGTGAAATGAATTATTATTGTATTAAATCTCACATATATACTTGATGATATACATATGTGTATAATAATATATATAATTATGTATAATAATATATGTATAATAAGACATGTATAATAATATATAATTGCAGATACGTATACGTGTGTGTCACGTGTCTTGCATCGAGGCGACGATTCGATCGGCGAAAATCACGTCGCACCTGAATCTTTCGTGAAGTTAAATTATTCGCTGCGCGAAGGAATCTCGGGAGTGCCGATCAAAGTATCGCGCGAGTGAATCTCGGGAGTGCCGATCAAAGTATCGCGCGAGTGAATCTCGGGAGTGCTAATTCATGTATCGTGTGATTGGGCGAAAGTGCCAATTATTTGTCCCAAAAGCGTGTTATTTACGCATGTTTGCCGATTAAAAGCAAATGCGTCAAAGGAAAAGAATCGAAATAAATGCCGCTTGAAATATCGGACGATTGTGTTATCACATTAATTGGAATACGCGGCTGTAATTACAGCAAATTGTTTCGGTTAATTTGTATAAGTGTACTCTGACGACATGAAGGATTATCAGCTGGAACATATCAGCGATGAAGCAGCGAATGGAACAGCATCTCTTTTCTCTATCTCTCAGCAAATTGGTGAGTCCAATTAATTTATTATGTCTGCATCACATAAATTGTTTGTTACTTGAAAATGATATTGCTGCAAAAAGAGCTGCATCCCTATTGGAAATATATCAATAGCGGCACATAAAATATTTCAATCTGTAACTTGAATCGAAACGCGACATAAAATTTGAATAATATTTTTTACTATTATGCATACACTGCATTGAAGATATCTGTTATTAATTAATAAATAATTGCACGAGATTGAATAAATTAATTCTTATAGAAATATTTCAATCAAGTATTTTATTAAAGTATTTTATTAAACCTTGAATAAATAGCATTGATTGATCGCGAATTAACTATACGTGCATGATTTTATGCTCGATTCTCGAAGCTACCTTAATTTTGATGGCAGCATCCTGATAACATTGTTTGCTCTTTCAACAATTATAATCGCCGCTTTTACGTAACTACTGAATAATTGAGATCGGCTTTAACGATCGTCCATTTGTGCTATTGATGTATCCAAATGTAGAATATATTATTAGGATTTTTATGTACCCACTATACAATTGAGAAACAAAGAGCTCGACCATTTACATATCAAAGTAGCCATTGATGTAAAACGCAATACTTATTAACATATACTTATTATATTAATTATATATTCACGAGAAGAATAAAAAAAGGGGTGAGTAAGTAGAGGTACAATTACAGGTGATGCGCTCACGCGCAATTGACTAATAGGTAATTAAATCATCCGACGATGGTAAACAAGTGACGCAATCATTGAGATATAGTGGAAAACAAGCCGATTGTGCTCGCGAAATCATCTCGACGCGAAACGCGATATTTGGAGTCTCTTCGATTCCCTCTGCAACGAGATATCGGGAATCGCTCGACACGATCGTGACCTTCGAGTACGCTTATTCAAGTTCGTTTCCTTTAGTCTCATCTCGCCTGCTCTCATCTCGTTCGCACTAAACGCATCTTATTCGCGTTGTTCCATTTCCACTTCGCATCATTTTCATCTCGTTAAAAAAGAATCTATCGAGCATCGATGAATTAATTAACGATACATGTACAAGAGTGCAATTATTCCATTGATATCAAATATTAAATAATTATTAATGTTATTGCTTCAAATTTAATTTAATTTGAGAGATATAATCTTTAAGATAAAATCTCTAAGATAAAATCTCTAAGATACAATCAATAAGTTAGTATATGCGAGATATTTATCAGAATATTCAAAATGCAAACGGAATTTTTTTTACAGAATGACTTTACTATTTTTGTAATTTTCCATTGAACAATTTAATTTGAAAAAAATATTAATCATAAAAATAATTAATATAATTTTTTTTATATTTTTTTAATTTTTTGTTTTACATTTATCGTTGATAGAATCAAATTAAACTTATGAATGGTCCTCCCTTTTCCCTCCAATTATCTTCGATAAAAATCTTTGGAAATGAGAGCCAGAAACGCGGATATCATTTCGTATTTTTACTTAATGATCCGATCACGTAATTTTCTAAAATCTACATAAAGATGCGCCTAATTGTACTCGAAGAACGCGATTGTATTCGAAGAATTGCGAATTATTCAAAACTTTATCCGACAGTAAAGTTTTCGTACCTTGTCTAATTGTACTTTGTGACCAAGTCCGGCGTGTTCTCCTGGCATCGCTCCAAGTTTCGTGATCACCGTATATTATTATCGGAAGTATTGTTAGTTGGTTTAAGAGGGCATCTATATAGAGCCTATTGTCGATGAACATGTACAAGCGAGTGTTGTCTCCTTCTCTGAAGAAGAAAGAGTATCGGTCTCGTTCTTCTCTCTCGTCTAGATATAGATCAAAAGCGGAGCTTCTCGCCTATATTTCAAAGTCAAGTGTATATAAGATTCTGACGTCTTTCGCGCAACACACATAACAAGCGGATAATTTATAATGTAAATCATAATACATATATATTATATCGAAGCTTGACTTTCAAATAATCTGGCCTCTAATGTATATACTGATAAATATATATGAATGATATGTATAAATATATATGAATGGATGTACCTATGTTAATTTTGCTATATCAAGAAATGTCCGGTAAATATATTCCGATTGGAAAAATATATTACGATTAATATATTACGATTGGAATAAAAAAATTCACAAATTTCATTCGATATGACCCTTTTTCTTTTTATTAATGTACAACATTATGAAATTTTTATTAATGTACAACATTGTGAAATTAATAATAAATTCGTAATTTTATAAAATAAATTTCTTGATAAATTCAGAGTTAATATTTATCTCGAGAAAAAGAATAACAAGAAGATTCGCAGTTTTAAGTATACTATCTTTAAGTATACTTATTATTAAATGTAGAAAGTTCGTAATTGTGCGTTAAGGATTCGCAGGATATATTTGAGGCTAGAGATATATGTAACGGTTTCCAGTTGCTCTCTTGTACTTCTATATTTAGCAACGAGTACATTATATGTATGATTATGTTCGTATATCCGTTAACTGACATCTAGACCGGTTATATAGAAAATTTGTAAGATACATTCGGTAAAAGACTTTAATATACTCCTGGCCAAAATTAACGCTTAATTTTTTTTCATTTTTTCTTTAAAAGCTGATTTAAATTTTTTTAATTTAAATTTTAACGAAAAATTTTAAGGAAAAAGTGACAAAAATATTATCCGTTAATTTTGTCCAGAAGAATATATTTAAAGTAATGATTTATATTTTAAAATTTGAAAATTGCCTACACACATTTACTACATACATTATTGTACATTGCATACTCTTCATTTAAGAGCAATGATAAAATAAAATATTTTTTGAAGGAAATAATTATATAAATATATAACATATTCATTGATTTTAAACAATTATCGATTTTTTTCTAATCCTCTTTTAATATTAATAATAAATTATATGTAATTTTATAGTGTGCTTGAGAAGTTTTTCCACCATGATAAAATTTTCTTGTAAAAATAGTATCGCGGCAAAAATGATCGCATTCTCTGGATTATAGGTACTTTTGTGTGGATTATTCAATAGTTAGATATGGAAAAAGCTGCTGCATCGACATTGCTCAGACGCCACTGAATTATTACGATGTACTCTCGTTAATAAAACAATGCCGTGGCGCGTGGCTTCTTGACACTTTGCTCAGAATTAAATTTCCGCGGAGAAGAATTGAGTTTCGAAATGAAACCGAAGATTATTAAATAAATTTCTTCGATTCTTCGTTTTATATTTGTTATTCTGAGAAATTATTCTAGTTAGGCAAATGACTTGAAAGAGCAATCCAATAATATTTATACCTTTGTAATTAGAAGATTAATAAGTATCATTTTTTATTTACATAGTATCATTAATTACGGATACATTAGTCAGATAAAAAAGATGCAAAGTACAGAAGCGCAGGGTCAAGTGTCTTGTTAATCGCTTTATAGAGCACTTATTGATTATATGATCGTGTTCTTTCGCGCGGATGAAAGGAGAAAGAGGATAATAGTTGCTAAACGTACAAGAGGACGATTGAAAATTTCGTATATCGATCGGTTCCCGACGTTGAAAACGGATCAAGTCCGTCTCACCTGGATGGTTATAGTTCAAGTCAAATTTTGATCGATTGTGAGAGCGCGCGCGCGAGATAAATCCGTCATTCATAACGTACGCAAAATGCACACGCGATAGAATACAATGCATTCGCGGAATTAATCGCTTTTTAATGCGAGTTCTTTCGTAAATCATCCGTGCTATTAATGCTTCCTGTCGCATACAATCTTTGCGTATTCGATATAAACTTTCGATAATGATGTCATGTGAAAGCGCAAAGTTCTCGCTGCATCAATTGAGATATCGATTTACAGAAATATAAAGTATAAATTATGTATCTTTTTTCCAGAGAAATTTTTTCATTGAATATTATCGTATTTGAAGCCATGTGTATTTAAAACTTTGTAAAAATTTTACAAAGAAATCTTGAGATCACTAAAATATTTGTTTTTATTGTAGTACATTAAATTAGAAGCAAATATTTATTTGTATATTCATTTTAGATAATATTTTATTAATTTTCATAATAAAAAATTTTTAATCTATACTAATTAATATCAATGAAAAAATTTCAATGAGATATTGAAATGATTTATGCTTTTAAATTTCAGAGCGTTTTTTAATTTTAAAACTTAATGATTTTTTAATTGTGAAATTAGTGCATGCGTCATGTATTGCGTAATATCGAGAGCTTTGAGACAATATTCTTCGAAAATCGACTAAATTTTGAAATACAAATAATTTATTCAATATCTTTCCATCTTCCTTGACACGGAGTGTGTCTAAATGCCTGGCTAATACATACAATAATTGACTTTAGACAACCAAAGTGAGATGGATTTGGTTAATTAATTAATGCTGGAAAGCTTGCAAACTGAAGAGTCTAATCGAATTATGGAAATCTCATAATCGTATGGATTATACCGTGCTTTAAATAATGCAACGTTATCTATATTCGGAGCTGGATCGATCGAAACGCGGTCCAATAAACCAAATTTTCTTCCTCAAGCGTGTTTATAAAACTTCTGCGATGCCTGTCTTTTTTTTCTTTGTTATCTTTACAGTGTTTTGGCACAGATCATTTCTTTGAACTGGTTTCGTAATATAGCACATCGCGATCCAAGCGCAATATTCGAAGCATCTCGAAACGGAAATGACAAATTTAATGCTAAGTAGTTTAAGCAAGGTCTATTAGATGCTATGAAATTTCTGTCGCGATTAATATATATTTCGTTACTGCTTTATTTAAAATAAATTGTTTTACATATTAATTCCTTCATACTTAGAAAATTGTATAGAGGAAGGAAGAGATTAAAGAAAATTATTATCGATTTATGTGGATTCATTAGTATAAAAAATTATTTAGATAGTATTTTTTATCACCTTATTTTCAAATGAAATACTTCAATATTATGTGTACGATTAGTTTCGAGCGATTTGTAGTTTCATTCAAAGTCATTTAGAGTAATCTTGAATTAAAATACAATCACAATCGATAAATTAATCACACGTGTACAAGTTGATACCCAAAATAAACCAGTGTTCAAAGACCTTGCACAACCGCGACACACGAGATCGCTTTTGTCGGTACGTTAGAAAATCAAAAACAAAGCGGATCATTTATCATCTCATCGCAATTCTTATCACTTAACGTGCGATAAATTCTGTGCACAAATAATAGTTCGTTGAAAAAGTAATATAAAAACTCCCCCGGGGAAACAAAAAACTCGCATGACCAATCACGAGATCTCGCCTTTGTTCCACCGACAAGATATTCATCGTAACGAGATAAATCGCGCCATGCTCATCGGCGCGAAACTTTACCTAGAACGTACCTGGTATCGGCGCGTTGAGGAAGGCCTGGTTTTTCGCCACGAGAAACGAGACGATAACGAAGAGACACCACGCGAGGATGATCATCCTGGATCGAAGCGATCGTTGATCAGTGGAAATACGATCCGTTTGCCGATCAGCTTGTCGAACTGGCTCGGTCGATGCGCGCACTTTACGTGACTTTCACGTGTCTCTTACGCGTCGCACGCATGTAAACTCGATACCGGTCGCACGATGATATTTCGCTTATAAAAAGAAAAAGGGAAAAGAAAAGGAGAACGATTTTTCTCGTCGGCACACGTGACTCTCGTTTCACTTGATGTGGCGCGCCGCGCAGACGACTCGGCTTCGCCGACTTCTCCGACCGGTTAGCCAGCAGTGAACTGCTCGTGTTCCTACCTCGGGTATCGTAATATACATAAAGTCGCCAGATAAGCCACTGACACCCCACCACGGACGCACCTCGTCGTGGGACGGCCCGTTCCTGCTCGCTCTCTGGTGCGCGCCGCTGAAGTGCTTGAAATCCTCTCGCCTCCCAGTGCGAAGTACAACAACGTGGTCCCCTAACTCGCGGCCCCGCTCGTCCCCCCACGATACGCGGAACGTGATACTCGCGATCGTGATCGTGTCCCTTTTTATTGTCACGAAAATTGATGCTCTTTCCGTCGACGGCAATTAGCCAACTCTGATTAATGATGACTCTGATCATTCTTTCTAAATGAGTAATGAATATAAATTGAAAAAGAATATTGTATAGTTAACGGTGTTTTGATTTCCGTGCTGTAATGTGAGAATGATGTATATGTATATGTTTTGAACATTTAGATTTTTAGGACGTACATTTTTTTTGCCTCGAGTTTGCTTTCTTTTTCGCGACTGGAAAAGAAACGGTCGGCTGATAATGATTATATATAACTCTAAATGCGACAAATATACAAATGTCCGCGTCACATGTTGATAGTAGGCGAGTAATAAATGGCAAATTGATTATGGAACGATAAAAAACTTGCGTATATATAATGAAATATCGGTTTTGCTGGATCATTTAAATACCAAGGCAATAAAACATAAGCTCGATGTGAAGTGTTAAGATCACCAGATCACCAGTCGTCATGGAAATCCTTTCGTAATCGCGCGCAACGATTACGGTTTATTTCCACGCTCCTTGATCCAGCCGCATGCGTGTCGTTTTTTCATTTCTTTTTTTTTTATTAGAGTGAACTAAAAAGAGAATTCAATTTTTTAAGGCGAATTTGCGAGACGTCGATCTTTTTTCTCCCGAGTCCTCGACGTTTCCATAAGTCTTCGTTCGGCATTTACATACGTGCCTGCTTCTCGAACCGTGCAGAGTAGATATCATTATATTTCTTACGGTATATCTCGCCGTAAAATTGAAAAAAATTCGTCGACTATAGTCGCGCATTTAGAGCCACACATTTTCAACTTATCGGACGGTACCTTTATGCAGTTTGCATGTAAAATGGCAGAAGGACCAGAGACAATGGATATTTATAACTTTATAAAGTTACCAGAATTATGAACATTTGTTTTTCTCTCTTGTGGCATTTCGTACAGGAATAACAGAAAGAGATATATACAGAGAAGCTTGGGAATAATTATGATAACTTTAACGAAAGTTTCATATACACGGTCATATACGCGCAAAAATATTAAAAGATATAAATACGCACAGGGAGGAAGGGGGCGAAGAGTCATCGATCTTCTCGACGATCGATGGAAACAAATGTGTATTTTCATCCCGATGGAGAAATGGCCAAAGATACGTGACACGACAATTGTATAGTTTTTTTTTTTGATAAGATTCGGCGCGCGCGCGCATCTCGGCGACACGTGTGTTCGAGAGGTAATGATTAATGTGAATCATATGATGTTTCCATCGATAAGCAAGTCATCCAGTCACGATGACGAAAAGATGTCACCTTTGTCGAAACGTTACGAGATGATCCAAGAAACTCGTGAAAATCCTATTGCGTCAGTTTTCCGCGAAAGACATTACCGACCATCTTATAACTTATTTCACATTGTCCACGTGAGTGGAACGTCAGTCAGAGGAACGTTAGTCATGGGATATACACGAAATTGATTTGCGCCAACCGAAACACTTTAATCTCGCACCGGTAATTTTACCGGTAATATTGTCACAATTATTGTGATGACGTTGGCTAAAAATATCAATGTGATAATGATATATCGCGTCACTATTTCTTGTGTCATCTTTCATTCGCGCGATAACATAAACCGCAAACAATTCTTCCTGTTATAACGTCTTTAAAATCGAAATAAATGTATCGTGTGTATCTTTGTTACGATTTTATCTGCCGTTATTTTCTTAGAATTCATCGCTGAGGTCACCGTCCTGTTGTAAAAAGAGAGCCTGAGATGCAATGAAATAAGATATACGAAAGGAGGGACATGATAAATATAAGAATCCAACTCTCATTATGAATATAATGATAGAAAAATATACATATTATTCTGATATATTTTTATTCATATTTTATTATTAATATTAATTTATATTCTTGGGAAGATTGATTACAATTTCGTTGCCTCGAGTTTTCTTTCATATTTTTAGAAGGACGTCGATTAAAAATGCTTGCATTTCCCATCAAATAGACCTTGACGATAAATGCATATCTTCATTTTTGCGATTCTTATGTCATTGTTGTTCACTTATTATGATGTCATCTCACTGATCTGATGCCACGGTCGAGACTTGTCGAGAATAAGGCAGATTGTTAGGATGTTTTGGAATACAGGATGCGAAAATAAACTGCGTTTCCGCAAACTTTAAAGTATCGCGGAAATAAAACGGATGCACATGAATAGTTAAATGTGTTCCTGCTAATCACTACGAAAACACATTATTCGCAGTATGAAAATAAATACGGAAAAACTTTACATTATAGACACGTGTCAAGAATTATACAACTGAATGATTCGATATGTGTAGTGTCTATGTGTCACTGTAGTAATCGTCGTTGCAACTCGGTCATTTCTCTTCAAATGTTGAACGAGTGATATATGGAAATGTTTCACGTGATCTCCATTAGGTTTCCAATCGTAACACGGTTATATGTTCTCGATCATGTCAGCCGTTAAAAAAATAGAGAATTCACATATTTAACATCTTCCGACATTAGCTTTTCTATCCGTCTGAATAGATTTTTTTATCGCCTTTTTTTATAAGTTTCACGGAGTTTTCATGATTTCTTTTTTTATTTCAACTACTTTTCTACTGCATAAAAATTATATAAGACGTCTTTATCACTGAATATAATACTTGTATATAATGCTTGTTTTTTTTTTGCTTTATAAAAATTTTGTTTTAATTTATCTTCAATAATATGATCACGAACTCTGGATACAATAAGATTTCCGGATTTTTAATTTTTGAATATCAATCTGTTGCCGATAATATATAAATTGTAATCAAATTTATTTATGTTTTTACAATTTTCGAGTAAGTAATTTGAACTTTCAAGCATAAACACACATATAATAAAATATAATATTTAAAAAATATGCAATTATATGTTCTCTGCCGTAAACACAAATGGAGGAATTAAGTTATCGAAGGAAATAATGGACGGTATGTTGCATAATTTACGGAACTTTGATCCAGTGGACATTGTCTGAATTTTCGTTTCTCCGAGTCGCGTTTAGCCATCTGCAAATCCAAATGTCACCACACACGCTGGCAAATCACTGCCACTGAATTAGCATAATCTCCTCGTCTGCGTGTTATATGCTCGTTGTGCTCGTATGCGCGGTAATTCCTAGTCCAATGTTCCCGTTACAAGTAAAGCCGTCTGGAGTTTAACATTTCATACATTTTATCGCGTATTAAAGACGCGCAATTATCTCGTTATACATAAATCGTCACTCATAAAACATGCACAATTATTGTGTATATAATGACAATACGAGGAATTAAAAATAAGACAAATAAGCGCATTATCTACAATTCCACCTGCATTGATATTTTCAATATGTGACAGAGCCGCTACTCGTTGCTATTCTTAATAGACGACTGATGGATCAACATGTATTTTTGCCTATGCATACACGGCACGAAGTATGCATCGCTAAATTGATTCTTCTAAGCTTCATCGATTTGTTTACGCGCTAAATTTGCAAGCGTTGCACAACGAGATAAAAGTAAAGAATGTAAAGGCGAATCTTGAAACGAGTCTCTCCCGTTGACAGACGAAAGATCGATCGACTATGAAAATATTTTTAACACGCGAAACCACGCGATTGTAGCGAGGGAAAGCGATTTAAAGCCGTGTATTCTGAATTTTGTCCAAGAGACCGACGCAGAGGAAATACGTCAGAACGTCGTATAACGGTACGTGATCGACATTTCGCTCTCGACAGCTGCGGCTCCTTTTTTTCCTCTTTCTTTCATAATTCTTCCTCCTTCATGCGGCATTACGCGAGTGTCACGCGCGTCGAGGCTAACTTATGTGATACTTGACACAGAGCTACCGGCGGTAACGAGCCACCTGGAACGAGACTAACGAGCATCTCACATTTCGCGCGATGCATCTCGGTGAGCGATACGCGTTGACGCCGAGTCGCGATGAGTCATGACGGTTTTTCGGCGCCATTCATCGCTATGGGCGATTTCGGACAATGCTATAGGAAAAGACTCACCGAGCGCCTAATCTCGGTTATTGAAGCTGTAAGGCTGTAAGGTATAGTTTGTGCAGCGCAGGCATAAATGTATTGACACACTGGCGACTGCGTATCAATGGATTAATGATATACGTGGATTATGTAACATCTATCGACAAATAAATGAATCAACGAACGAACGAACGTTGAAGTGCGATTAATCTGTTATTTCTTTTTGTTTCCTCTTTTTACGGATCATCATTTTTTCTCGTGTTTTTATCTTTTTGAATCGTGAATCCAATGGAAATGTATTGTATATAAAGAAGAGATTTACATGCGAAATATGGCTATGGAGGTTTAATCTTTAGCCGATCAACTGCCGAGAAAGCTTTTGCGACTCTGAACAAATTTCGAAATTCTCGTAATATATATTATATAGAAAAATTATTATATAGTTATTATATAGAAAAATTTCTGGGAAAAAAAACTATTACTTTGACGAAAATATGCTGGCAGTATAAAGGTTAACAACTGCTATCAAGATTTATTATCTTTACGTATCGTATGTGCAAATTTCACATTCAGAAGGCGGAAAAAAATATTCTTTTATTGCACTTGTGCTATTCAGAAGAGAATATAAAAAAATATTTTTTTCTACTTTTCTCGGAGATGACGCAAGTATTGACGGACCAAAGTGCAGGTTCTCCGGCATAACGTCTGTCTGCAGATGCTCTTGAATAAACTTTGGCGGTACGTGGAGGAGAATTTAATCCGAACGTATCGCCAAGTTCCTCGTCGGGCTTACATTTCGCGGTTTCCTTGTCGCGAATCGACTTACGCTCGTTGGACCGCGCGCTTCAGCTCTG